GAGGTTGCGCAGACGTCGGTTGTGCTGGATCAGCTGAATGGTATGGATGGTGAGGCTGCAAGGCTCTGAGGGAATGTCCAGCATGGTGGGGCGCTTGGGCTTGTTGGCTGAGGGTTGGTGCAAGGGTGGGTCATGGACTTCCACCAGTCGGAACTCCCGAGGGAGCAAGTCAAAGGAACTTCTGTTGGTCTGGCTTGATGAAATTGGTATCTCTCCCCAATATCTCAGCATTTTGGAATTAGAAAGGAGAGCTTTCAAGTTAAATGTAGATGATATCCTAAAAGTAGTGTTTTTAAATCTCTAACAACTGCAGGTTATAGGCTTCTATAGTGAAAAATATGTCTAGCCAGTTATTTGCATAAAAAGTAGGCAGTTCAAGACCACTTAGAAAAATATCAATGTCAGCAACACTGTAGGACCAAAGATGTTCTCCCTGAAGAAATTAAGAGACATATTGCTGTTAGATGCCAGCCAGCACAATCACACACAGTGACAGTTCCTCTGGGGCTGTACCACAAGGTAGAGTTTGGGTCATTAGTAGACTAATAGCTGAAATAGTATCTGGGGTTATAGTGTCCATGTTTTCCACCTCATCCCACTAACTCATTGCCAGAAAGACCATCATACCCAATTCTGAACAATTTGCAAGGCAAGATACTTAAATTTGAGACCTGGAATATTTCTCAGAGTATCTTGACACATCTGTTCCGGATCAGTAGGAAAAATGGAGTAGAGTTAAAGATAGGCAAAGGTGGTACTTATTCTGTGAATGCCAGGTATGGGAATCTTTAAGAGGTCCTGGTAGAAAAATTTATAAACCACTAATCTAAATGATCTTATGTGACATATAAAGGGAAGACTCTGAGATTTCTGCTGTCTCCTACCTAGTATCCTTTCCTTCAGTCTCTCCTTATATCTAATCTATTCTCTATAGTGATGCTAGAGTTAGTATTTTTAACTCAGATCTAATGCCTTTCCATTGCCTATTGGAAAAACTCAAAGTTTTTTGGTTTACCATTCAACAAAATTTACAATCTGGCTCTGACTCACCTTTCCAGATTAATTGCCCACATGCCTCTACAGATTCAATAAACATTCACCAAATGCCAGGTACCAGGTGAGGAGATAAAGACTAATTAACGCAAGATCCTTGCCCTGAGGTGAGGTAGAAAAACATAAAAAGAACATTTCAGTATTAACATTTCACCAGGCACAGACCTGGTGCAGTGAGGAAGCACAAAGGAGGAACTTCTTGGAGAAAATGACTACCTTAGTTCTAACAGTATCAGACTACTCAGACTGAGAACGCCATGCATCTCCATAGCAGACCTTTTAAGCTGTGATCTCTGCTAGAAATGCCCTGTGACCCCTATTCCTGGCAGACTTGTATTCACTCTTAAGTATGGCTTAAATCACCACCCTCTAACACCTCCCCAGCACATCTCCCTTCAATATATTATTACAGCACTTTGTACATTTCCATCACATTATTTATCCCTGAATTTAAACTAGTACTTATCTCTATTTTATTCTTCCATCTGTCGCTCACAACTGTGATCTCAGTATGGTGTCTGGCATTTATTGAGTGCCTACTATGTGCCAGGCTTTGCCTTTACTGTTTTATTCAATTTTCCCAACTACCTTACGAGGTAAATACTATGAGTATCCCATTTTCCAGATGTGTAAGCTGAGGCCCATTGTCTTGCCTACTGCCAGAAATGGCTGAGAGGGAAAATCAGGACGATCTCGGTTTCAGGGTCTGCACTCTTAACGACTACATTAATTGCCTCATTAATTGGTTTCAGAAAGAATAAAAAAAGAACGAATAAATGAATGAACCAAGTGACAACACAAATCGTCCTCTCCCCTAACTTCACCGAAAGGAGCATGAAGGATAGGTACCAAGTCTAAGCAATGCCCAAGTCCCTGCAGGGGCTCTTCGGTCACCGTCGGCAGGCGCAGGCGCCAATCACAGGGTCCTGGGGTCGCCTAATGCCGGGGCAGCCCGGAGACCGGGTGGTCTGGACCGGGACCGACGCAAGGAGGCTCCGCTAAGGACTGCCGAGTCGCGCAGAAGCTGGGCTGGGACGACTCCGAAAGGCCCGAGGGGAGGGTCGCTCCAGGGCCGGAAGGCTAGTGCGTTGATTAATAGTTCAAGACTGCCGGAAGCGCTTCTTTTCAATCAGGCTCTGCTGCAGGAAGTCACTACAATCCGGTTGCAACCTTTAAAGATGTCCCCATTCTGACAGCACCCTACCACCCTTTTCTGTTTTCCACTTATTAAGACCTTCCCAGGATAATACTCACTTCTTCACAATGCTCTGGCTCGTGAAGGAACAACTCCATCATCGCTGCCAGAGGAGCCGCTTGGAGGTGGGGAGAACGGGCCATGGAGAGGAACGTAGAGACCGAGTGGGAGAGGTTTCCGAGGAACAGATTTCGAGGCTGCAGCCGAGTAAGGATGGCTGATAGTTCTGCTCAGGCCGAGTCGCTGGCTCCTCAAGAACTCAATGGCGACTTCAAGAGACCAGCCCTGCCGGTGCCGCCGGCAGTGCGAGGCAAGGCTTCGGCCACCAATCCTTCAAACTCTGAGGAGGTGAAGAAAGAAATGCCCACGGCGCTGCTGGACTCCGATTCCGGAGACCCTGACGTCCCTCTGGCCCAGCGGGACAGCGGGGAGACTAGGAGTCTAGCGGAGGAACAGCCGTGGTCCCCTACAGCAGCTACTTCCCCTGGCGGCCCGGCCCGGGCTCCCCCTTACCGAGAGCCGCCGTGGGGCGGCCCGGCCATGGCCCCTTACAGCCTAGAAACACTGAAGGGCGGCACCATACTTGGCACCCGGAGCTTGAAGGGGGTGAGTTGCTGCCTTTTCGGGAGGCTGCCTAGCTGCGACGTGTGCCTGGAGCACCCTTCGGTGTCTCGCTATCATGCCGTGCTGCAGCACAGAGTGTCCGGCCCTGACGCAGAAGGCGACGGCCACGGGCCTGGCTTCTATCTCTACGATTTAGGAAGCACCCACGGCACTTTTCTTAACAAAACCCTCATCCCACCCCGCACCTATTGTCGGATCCACGTCGGGCACGTTCTTCGCTTTGGAGGCAGCACTCGGCTCTTTCTTCTTCAGGTAAGTGGAAAAACCTAGGATCGAAATCTCTGAGGCACCCCGGCTGCTTTCCTGAGTTCCTTACGCTTTCACGGAGGAAGAAGATTGTCCCAGTCAGTGTTTACAAAACTGGAGGAATCTGGCTCCTCATCTCCAGTACACATTGTCTTATTTCTGAAAGTGACTTCAACAGTCTTGAACTCTAATTTTTTTTTAACAATCCGGAACTCTAAAAGAATTCTTTCGCTTAATTCATCAGGGACCTGAGGAAGACCGAGAGGCAGAATCCGAGTTGACAGTAACGCAGTTGAAGGAATTACGCAAGCAGCAACAAATGATGTTGGAGAAGAAGATGCTGGGAGAAGACTCAGATGAAGAGGAAATGGATACTGCTGAAAGGCAGAGAAATACTAGTAGTCAAGATGATGAAATGGGCTGCACCTGGGGAATGGGTAAGACGTTAAAATTGCTGCCAGAGGTTAATATTTTAAATTCATTTCCACTGGTACCCTTAAATGTTTTTTTTTATAAATCATATAACTTTCATGACTCTTTGAGATAGATAGGACAAAAACAATTTGCACCTGAGGTTACCAAAACCCAGAGAGATTCATTAATTTTTCTGATGACAAAAAATTGAATTATGGGCACAATTGGTTTCTTATAAAGTGTTTTACAATGCACTCACTTGTTCAAAACCCTTCCTCAGTGTATAGTTTGTTATTATTATTTTAATTAATTAATTAATCAATTAATTATTGTTGGGGGGAGGTAATTAGGTTTATTTAACTTTGGAGGAGTTACTGGGGATTGAACCCAGGACCTTGTGCGTGCTAAGCATGTGCTCTACCACTTGAGCTATACCCTCCCCTATAGTTTATTATTTTTAACCATTAAAATTTAATTAAGTACTGATCCTGATTATCACTGGAAGGGGTGGAACTGCATTCAATCAAATAAAATGGAATGTGATTCAATACATGAGTTCCCTTGAATTTTTTTGTACTTTGTATAAATACCCTGAAATGCGAAGTACCTAATCAGAGAAAAACCTTAGGCAAAGGAATAAAGTAAATTTTCCATAACACCATACGTTTTGGAGGATGGGTATTCAGGAGCTAGGAATATGAAAAGATAGAAGATGGCCTTAATAATATGTTGTTGGGTAGACAGGATAAATATGAAATTATTTGTGTTAAGTCAGACAAAGGCTAAAAACCATAAGTGTGCTAGTGTAAGTGTTCAGAGAAGGAAGCAATCTTTGAGGACTTAGACCTACACTGTCCATTATGGTAGTCACCAGCCACATGTGGTTACTGGGCACCTTCAGTGTGGCTAGTCCAAATTGACATGTGCCGTAAATGTAAAATACACACTGGATTTCAAAGATTTAGTGTGAAAAAAGATTGTAAGTATTGCATTCATAATATTTTTATATTGATTACATGATAACTTCACCTATTTCTCTTTTTTCATGGGACTATTAGAAAATGTAAGATTATATATATGACTTTCATTATATTTCTGTTGGGTAGCAGTGACTTCGATCTTTGGGGAAGTTTATAAGTTTATAAACAGAACGGTCTTGAAGGAAAGGAAAGGAACCCTTAGGAAGCTGAGGACTGGGAGTGGTATTCAGGGTAGAGATTGGTGATTTTAAGGGAGTACTGAGTAAACTAGTCTGTTTGGTAGATATGATAAGTATTAGGAAATTATACCCCTAATATATACTCCTATATATTAGGAGACAAAGTATTAGACCTGGTTATGAGAGAATTGAGATGCCAGACTGAGGAGCTTAGATTTTTTTTTTTTAGGTAGAGAATGTGGTAGGTAATTTTGTTTTTAAAATACATATAGTGATGAATAAGGTGCCATGAAAAACGTTTTAACTTGTCACAATATAGAAAACCTGAAGATGTTCATACGGGTGGTTTTGTGATTGTCTTCCCCCAGCCTACCCCTACTTTCTTTCTTTCTTTCTTTTCATCACTGATAACTGTATATACACCCTGAAAGGACAGTGGGTGTCATTCAGACAGTCTCTTATGTCTGATAGTCTTATCCTTCTTTCCCATATCCTATAGGAGAAGATGCTGTAGAGGATGAGGCTGAAGAGAACCCCATTGTCTTAGAGTTTCAGCAGGAGAGGGAAGCCTTTTATATAAAGGATCCAAAAAAGGCTCTCCAAGGTTTTTTTGACCGAGAAGGTATGTAAACAGATTCTGACCCTGCCAGTAAAATGTATCCACAACAGTTTTGTTTTCTAGACCTTCAGGTACTTAGAAACATTCTATTTTTTCTGCTGTCCTCCTTGTTCAGTTCTTGCCTGTGTGGTCAGTTGTTTCAGGTTTATTTTGAAAATAGTGAAAATCTTGTTAGTCTTTTTTCGAGTCTTGGGAAAAAGGAAGTACTTTTTCCTGACTCATCTAATTCCTCTCAAAAGATCCTAGGCTTGGATTGTGGGAAGATCGACCCAAC